TCGTAGCAATTATTGACGGGCAATTTCACTTTAGGACATCGCGCTGTCACGAGACTCGATCGGACGATAAGTTTTATATTTCTGCATTATATTGTTCAGATCACTACTGCAACTAATTATTTTTTCCAACACCAACTTCATTTCCCTCGCTGCAGAATCGAAAATAAAAAGCATTCCTAAAACTCAAGAATATGTTGAAGTGCAATAATGATATGAATTTAATCTCTGTGTATGAATTTGAGCCATTTTGAAGAATTAAATGGAGATTTTGGAGTCATATTATAGAAATCGAAAAGCCCACAAGTTCATATTCATCTCATTTTCTTTTTATATTCACTCATATCTTTGCTGTTGTGGTAAAATCATGTGAAGAGGTCATCTTATATCTATCATTTTAGTGCGTAAATTTCATCTCCTTAAGGCCTCACTTTGTGCCATTTTTCGGAAAGGATCATTTTGATGTAGTCATGTGGTTTATAAACTTTGGCCCTGTACCCTGTTTGATTTCACTAAAATTTTTGATTAAAATATAAGTGAAAGTCGACAATTAATTTTAACCATACATTTCATGAGATCCACAATCTTTCAACCACACATTTAATCAATATTTATCAAAATTTACTAAAAAATTTGATTTTTATCTAAACCAAATGTGAATAAATTTGGCTTGGGAAAAAAAAAATTACTTTAAAGGAATTTTTAAAGATAAACATGTTTGGGTGATCTTAAATATTAATTTTCTAAAGTAAATTAGCTTTTATCTTAGAGTTAGCCCAATAAGACTGGCTTGCAAAATTCTTGTGAAGTGGGCTTGGTTTCCTTTGTTGGATCAACAATGGATTTAAGGGATCAGATTGGAATTGGGCCAATTGCAAATTCTCAAGTAGGGGTAAATTTGAAATTTCACTACAAAATCATTGTAATTCAAATGCCGGGTCAATGGTTTTGTTGACTTGGAAGAAATGCAACTTAAAAATGACATTATCAACTATTTTAAAATTTAAAATAATTTGAGAAATGAAACTCGATGTGGACTTATTGCATGAAAATTGTATTGAGCTATAGTAAGGAAATATGCTTGAGTTATAAAAACTAGATTGAGGTTATTAATTAAAGGTTCGACTTGTAGTTAAAATAAAATATATAAAATATTTTTTTTATAGTTTTATCCTTAGTTTTCACGACTAATATTAAAACTTAAAAATGTATTCTCGATTCCACTAGGACAAGAGTTACTCTGCTTCGAAAATAGATAAAATATATTTTTTTTTATAGTTTTATCCTTAGTTTTCACGACTAATATCAAATGTGATATTATGTCTCTATTTGGTTTGGATAAAATTAAATTTTTAATAGATTTTGATTGAAGTTCGTGAAATGTATTGTTGAAAAATTGATAAAAATTGTGGACGTCATGAAATGTATGATTGAAAAAAAAATTGAAAAAAAAAATTAAAAAACGAGGACGACTATATATATTCCTCTTAAGTTAGATGTCTGATTTTCATTTTCAAACTATAATGGTAGTTTGGCTAAAGAAAATTAAATTACTTTTGCACCCAAAAATTAATGGGGCTGGAAAACCCTCCATGTACCCCACGGTATCTTTTTCGGTCCATGCTACTCGTACATCAAGGTTGACCGACCCTCTCACAATAGAGGGTCCACGATTTTTTTATTCAACGTAGGCACTCCTTTGTTGTGAGGGATCGATACACCGGGATGTCAAACCCGGTGTACAAGTATCAAAATCCATCTTTTTCCCTCCAAAAGCTATTCCATACACCGAGCCACGTGTTACCATTTTATCTGCCACGTCATCTAAGTGTTGGGCTGTGGGCTCATATGATGGCACTGTCTAAAATACAAAAGGTAATTCTATTTAATTCCATTGAGATTGCAACTCCAATTTTGATAACGTTAATATGACATTAATTAATATGTAAAATTAAATGACTCATTTCATTTAACCAATCATCTAATATTATTTGGATTGAAATTGCAATAATTATTCAAAGTTTCAAACCCAAAAACTTGAACGGCCCCGATCGTGATAAATAGTGGCATTCCCGTTAAACCAATTCTTCTTCAAGGGTAAATCAGTAATATAAAAGAAACAGGAGTTTCAGTTTGTAACAGACAGCTGTTTTGAGAAAGAAAAAACCAGAAACGCACTCTTTGGTTCGAAAACCTTAATCAGACTCTTCTGATTTTTGAGGAACTGATAAAATGGAGGATGTCGAGGTAAATTTTCACCACTCCATTTGATGAACTCCGCCTCCCATAACCACACTCTGCGGCTGTGCAGCTGCTTTTATATTTTAACCAACACCCATCAACTACCTAACTGATTCCCTTAATCGGTTGTCACTTTTTTTCAAGGTTCAATTTTGACATGAAAATGGAGTTTGATTTTGATCTTGTTTTGAGCTTTATTATTTTTTTACTTCGATTCTGTGTGTTTTCATGAATGTATGTTATTGTTTGTGAGTCAGTGTTGAAATTTTTTAACTTCTCGTTGTGGAGGAAATCAATAAATGAAGGCCGTCGAGTTAGATTTTCGCCGTCCCCTATTTTTTGAATTCTGCAACCTATAAGCATCGTCTCTACGGCGGTGCAACCAGTTTATTTTTCGAACAATCCACCAACTACCTAACTGATTCCTGATTTCTTTATCGTTGTTTTGTTTACTTTTTTTCCTTTTCCTTCCAGAGTTCGATCTTTGTATAAAAATGGGGTTGGGTTTTGATCTTATGTTGAGATTTATTTTCAATTTCACTTCGGTTTTTTTTTTTTTTTTTTTTTTTTTTTAAATGTATATTTATGTTTGTGTGTCTGCGGTTTTGTTGAAATTCACTCACTTCTTTTTCTTGTTAGAAAGTTTGAGTTCTGATTTTTTTTTCCAGTTTTATGTACATCTTTAACTCTTGATTCTTCCTGTTATCTTGATTATTTTTGTATCTGGGCATCTATGGTGTTTTAAAGTTCCTAAAAAATTTTGATGTTTTCAGAAGATGATGGTCTATTTTGTTTTCATTTTTACTTTGATTTACAATTTATAGTATCTTTGGCGGCATGTTTTTTATTATTCATTTACTGCTTTTAATGTTTCAAGTCTAAAATATACGGCTAGATTTTGATATTTTTTGAACATTTCTTGGATCTTAATTGTCTTGGTTGTTTCTTGTTGACACATATAAATGTGCACGAGTTTCTCAGTGCAATTTTTTTTTCCTGTTGGGGTGCAGAGATTGACAGCGTTGAAGATGGCATATGCAGATATAATGTTGAACACCACGAAGGAGGCAGCAGCCAGGATTATGTCATCAGAAACTAAGGTAGCTCGGTATCAGCATGAGCTGAAGGTTGCAAAAGAGGAAGGGCTGCGAATGCTACTACGCCTTAAACAAATGATGGATTCTGAGGTGAATAAATGGATTTGATATCAACATTTCTGTCTCTTCGCCTTGTTTTATGTTCTGAGGGTGGGTCCTTAAGTAAAAGAAGAAAGAGTGGATAAGTATGGGATAGTACCCTAATTTGAGTTCGAATATTTAACTTTGATGATTTTACTGAATAAATGTGCTTGATTGGATTTTGCATTGGTCGAATGTCATCTCTTGTTTTTGGTTCCTTAGTGTGGGTTCTGTTTTTGTGTTACTTTCTTTAGTGTTCATTTGTTTGGTTTAATATTAAAAAGAATTCTGTTGTTGGCTTGGAATTTTGTTCTTTGTAAATTAGTCAACAAAAGGACTCTTAATAATCATAAATTGGTATAAGCATGGATCTTTTGTTTCTGTTGTCTCTCTTATGGGTTGATGGATTGCCCTCAGCCTATGACGACATGATAGGAATGTTGAAAAGTTTGTTATCTGTTTACTTTATTTTTTGTCTTGACTGTAAATTCTCTTGTAGCGGCAACATATCCAATTATAATATATCTTCTTTCGTATAACAAGATTTTGAAAATGTGTTATGTGCTTGGTGGGAAATATTTATTATCATTTTGGCACCAAAAGAACTGCCATTACACATTTGGATTCGGTGATCAAATTGAACTGCCAAATGGCATGACACTGCTACGAACACGTCTTTTTGGTATGCTGTTTGGACCGTTATTCATCTATTGCTGCCTTTTGTGGAAATGTTTGCTAGGAGTAACGGTTAACTAATAATATCAAACTGCCAAGTGACACCGCTACTTACATGGACCACTTGTTTTTTTGATACATTGTTTTGACTGTTATTCATTCTGTTTGGTGAAGTAACGGTTAAGTAATAATTGCATTTATCCTTATCCATAATGTTTGGTAATATGTTATGTTATAACATTTTTGTATTAGTTCTATGCAAATTATTAACTTCCTTTATCAGTAAGTTTCACCGTGAACATCTTTGGTCTATTGTCATCATTTACATTTTTCTTGTGGCACAAAGGCATGAATAAATAATTCTAATAAACTCAGGTTCAGGAATTAAAGAACTTCCATAAACCAAGTAGCAAATGTCAATTATTAAAGATGTAATTATGTTTCTTCCACCTCGCTCATAATTATGCCTCTCGTTAATATTGACTGTGAATATCTCGAGATGAAGCAACAATATTTTGAACTTCAAATGATGAAATTCAAACTGGTACCATGTTTGGCTAAATTGAAAAAGTTTACATATGAGAAAATAAATAAGTTTTAAAACAAATAATTTTTCCAAAATAAGTGAATTACTTATTTTGATAGCAAGGTAAGAGTTATTTTCAAAATAGGTAACTTTTTAAACTTAGAATCAAGAAAAAAGTAACATATCCATAAGTGTTTACAAACGAGCTTGCAAACTATGTGTCAAAAGAATAGTGAGTTTGTTCATTCTTCTTGATCCTAATTGCTCTTTAAGTAGGTTCCTTTTTTCTGTTTTCATTCCAAATGTGGGCTTAAATTTTAATCCCATTCTATTTCCTTCTACGGGTGAAGTTTGTGATAGTTAGATTATGTGCCTGTCCTTCATATTCCTCATAAATCCCTAAAATTAGTGAACTGAGAAGATTTACATTCCTTTGATTTATTTTGTCACCCCTTGTATGGAGACAGATTTACTGCAAAGTTTGAACTTTGTTCTGACTCTATATACACCATATAGTCACATACACATATTGATCTATATTTTAATATATCTCTTCATTTAATGTGTTGACATATGACCAAACTTTAGATAAGGGAAGCAGAAGCAACATCTTCGAATCAGCAGAAGAAGATTGAAGAAGTTGAAGCTCAGCTCCAGGAAGCAGAGGATATTGTCAAAGATCTCAGAGAAGAGTTGAGAGAGGTGCAGGCTGAACTGGAGCGGGTGAAAAACAAAAACATGCTGTTAGTAGATGAACCTGATTATGCTTGTCCAAGAGAAATACCAGATAGAATATATTCTGCTCAATCCGTTACATTTGTTGAACCAAATTTACAGAATGAATCCTCTGGAACTTCTGATGTTAGGATTCTACATCCTTACCAGACACACAAGGTTCAGAAGTGCTACAACAAGACACTTAGTATGAACAATTCATGTATTGGAAGTCCAGATTTGCCTTCTATAATACTGAGAAAGAAAGAATCTGGATTGTACCGAAAGGGGTGCACGTATAGAATTCGTGCATGTGAAAGGAATCTGTTGGATGGAGAATCATATTGTTCTGGGAAACATGATAAAGTGATGGATACAAGTGTCAGAGGGCTTGAAGAGGGTAAAGATACCTTTATAGAACCAGCTCATGGGACTAAAATTTTAAGTGATCGTGAGACGAATCTATTAGCGGGTGTCAAGCTTACCAGAACTGAATCTTTCGTTTGGAAAAGGAAAAGAGCTATCAGGCGAAGGAAATATTTAACATCCCCACATGGGGATCAATCTGATGTGCAACTGAAACCTATTCAGGTAATTGATGCTAATTCAGGTGAGAATCTTTCCAAGATGGCTCCAAGATGGTTCCTGCATAAACCTCAACCAGGAATTCAGACAAGATGCGCAGAATCTTCTGAAAAGGAAGCAGTTATTGTGGAATGCTGTGATGCTGAAGAGCGAATGTGCCAGGATGAAGCATTGATTGAAAATTTGCTGCTTTTGAGACAGGAAACTGAACCTGCAGAGAGTTCAAGGACCCCATGCGATAAACTGGATGCTGAAAATTTGCTAGCGAACGATTTGGTGTCAAACTCTTCTGATATTACTAGTGGGTATCCTGATCAAGCTAGAAGGGAAAGAGTTATTAAGTACACATTTCAGAGGAAGCGGAAGAGACAGAATTCAAGTGGAGCTGATGTGAATTTGTCTCTTGAAACTGATAATTTGGAAAGACAATCAGGGAATAATCAAAATGGTAATCAGGACCTAGATCTGCAGAAGCCAAGCTTGGAAACCGAATCATTTGAAGACGATCTGCCATTAGCACTAGTTGCTCGTCAGGTTGGAAGTTCATGTCCTTGTGTGTGTGTGGGTTTGTGCATGCATATGCCTGTTTATGTATACAATCACTATTGCTTGGATAAAATTGCTGCACGTTGGCATACGTGAATTCCTTATTCCTCTCTTCTTTTGATTCTTGGTCTGTGAGACTGCTAGCCTAGTTGCTCTGCTCTGTATGTGTATTAGAAACTCAAAAATTTACCTTGTTGCCAAAAGTGTCGGAGCTAGATCATCAGTTCCCAAAACGTATTGGATGCCAACTCATGCAGACACACTCGGACATGTGTTGGACAGATTAGGTGTGCCCTTTTCTTTTAAAAACCAGGTGTGTTGCCGACACGGCACCAACCCTGCTCCGACAAGGCAAAACCAAATAATCGAAAGTAACCTGAAATGAAATAGTGTTTCCTAAAGCACTGGCCAATGGCACAGTCATGATGGGTCCTGATCCATGACTATGGAAGAGGAGATGGGGCTGACTGCCAGGCAAGAACGAAACCTAAAAACCTAAAGACGAAATGTTTAAAGAGGTGGCCGCTAGCTAGGAAAGAAGGAAAATGTTAAAAGAGACTGATGAATGCATGGTTGGGAGGGGAAATATGTGGGTGGGACTGGGAAATGAAATGTGAGGGGAAATGTGTGAGCAAGCTATTTTTTTTTTTTAATTGTTTTAAAATCATTTTATTCTTTGTTTGTATAATTTGTAGTTTCTGTCTATATGATGATAAATTTTTTTATTTTTTCTTTTGGGGTCATTCTTATTTTTATTCAACCCAAAAATGCGTATAACCAGTTTAAATAAAAAGTTAATAAAAAATAAATTAATTAATGTTGTATTAAACTAGTCAACGTTTCCTCGACTTGTCCATGTCCTACTTTTTGAAGAACCACACATCTACATGTCATGCCGTGTCATGTCGTGTTTCAATGCATGTCCCTACTGCTTAGCTTAGTTGTAGGTTATCATTTATACACCAAAATTTGGTTAATGACTATATATGTAGGTTGCCATTTCTACACCAAATTTGGTTAATGATTATGTATTTTAATTCATGGTGGCATACAATAGTAAGATTTCTGATATAATTTCCCATGTAATTCAATACTACCTAGGAATGGAAATATAGAAAACTTATATACCAATTTTGACTTGAAATTGCAATTTTTAGTGCTATACTGTTTCAAACTCTATAAACTAAGTTTCAGAATAAACAGAACAACCTATTGTTGCCATATCAGTTTCTATTGGGTCTTGCAAATATTTTTGTTGGTTAAACATAGATTTATTTGGATAAAAGGGTGCTTCTTTACTTTTTGACCGTTACTAGAATATAGATTGTGAAAGTGAAATTTACTAGAATATAGATGCCGAAAGCAATTTAAGTCTTAGCCCAGAGGGAAAATAGGAAAATCTTTCTGTCCCATAAACCACAAGGGTTAAAAGTTAAGACCCCCCTCCCCACCCCTCAAAACATCAAACCAAGCCTAGCATTTCTAGGCATCCAAAAATGGACAATTTAATGCCTGTAAAAGCCAAATGCAACAAAACCTTGTCATCCATAGTAATGCCAGACCCCAATTTGGTAAGAAGCATATCAGCTAAATATTTGTTGCATACAAAATGTTACCAAAAATTGCAAGTGGCCTTGCCCAACATCTCTTGAGCAGAAGTGTTTTTTTTTTTTTTTTTTTCCCCCCTTTTATAGGGGGAAGTGTGTAAAAAAAAAGGTATGAAAACTTTTTCCACCATATTTTCCAAACCTGTTTCCTCCATCAAGATTGCTTCAACCTTGTTTCCCATCCAATTTTTCTCTCCAACCAAAGTCGGTAAATCACCCTAATAACAATGCACAATTGCTTTTGAATCTGAAAATTTAGAAAAATAATATCTGGAAAATCTTTAATAAGGTCCATGTAATTAAACAGAATGATGGATCGCTCTTAAGAGGAGAGTGAATTATGAGTAATATGGACTCGGGGAAAAAGAAGACCACAAGTAACATGTCCAGGCCTAATTAATAAATTGTTGATGAATTTAGCTTCATGGAAGATGTGTCTGCATAGTTGAAGATTTAGTCTCCTACATGAAACTTCAGTGGCAATGTTTTGTCAAGTCGGGTTTCTCTTAGTAATAGGCTCTCTATCCATCTTTCAAATATTTATATGCCCTTTTTTCTCTCTTTCTTTATTTATTTTGTGTGCTTGTCAATGAGATAGGAGAAACATACTTCAACTTTATGTGCTATAGTTCGGGTTCTCTAAGAAAGAAAAAAAGGTTGTATGTAATTGAAGCAAATACATGGTGAGGATTCCAGTTGTTTTCATTGTTCATCTTTCCTTTTAAAGTAGTCAATCATTGATGCTTTTGTGAATGGCATTTGGTATAGGATATGGTGAATTTGCATTGAGCGAATGATTTTCTTTGCGTTATATGGTGTCTCGATAAACGTACTTTTGTGCTTTTTTATCTCATGGACTTCATGTTTCGTGTTTTTATACGACAGCTTTTATCTCTGTCTAAGAAGTGGTAGCTGTAAATGCCTGAATTTCATCCTTCCATGAAGAATGCTGGAAAGGCGAATGATAAAATTTTCAGGGATCTGGTCGTGAAGATGCAGACCATCCATGAAGCTGACCATTTATATTTAAGAGAGTTGGAATTCTAATCGCATAAAGTGTTACCATTGCCTGTAGTTTCCAGTGTCTCAATTCTAGTACCTTAAAATGTTGCCAACTTTAGATGTCTTTTGCCAGAGAGTTTCGATTTTTTGTTGACGAGATATTTTCCATTTTACAAAGTGGTATGTAAATTATTGCTATCGTCTTTCTCCTGTCGTTGCATTTCTGATGAATCATCTATAAAAATATTGTGGAACTTGAATTATATTTTCGAATGTATCAAATAACTTAAATAGAGGTACGGTTGGTAGGCGATGCAGGTTGTAGTTTTAGTCGAACAATGATGCATTTCATACTTCTCGAGCTAATAACTTTAGTAACAAATGTTGTCCAACTGGCTGCTCACCAGGTAACATATACACAAATACGTAACATAGATACCAAACAAAAAAATTGTACAGTTTTCGTTCTTGATAACAATGAAACACTGTAAGTTGGATGATTTGCTAAATGCTGAACCAAATTATTCCAAATTACAGTAACAAAAGTAATTCTAAAATGCAGATTAAATGACAAGTCCCTAATTGTTATTGAATCCTCGCTTCATTGATATCCGAGATAGCCATAACCGGCCAGCCTAGACCATCAGTCTGGAAGAACATAGTTATTTTGGTCAGTTACAAAATATGTATTCAAGAACAGCATCATGATTAGGTTTCCTTCCCATTCTTTTGCTTTGAATCTGATACCAATGCCCTGATGCCGAGCTGTGGTTTTGTGTCAACTAGGGCACGAAGAACAGATACAGATACTACTACAGACTTGCCAGGGATCCCAGAAATTGGCTATAACTCAAGAAGCACATGAAACTGCAAGGAATTATGAGTTCAGTAAATGGAAAATACAAAAGGGACTATTGATTTGCAAAACTTATCTCCACCTCTAAGGCAATTCAGTTCCACGATTGAATCTGGAACAGCATTGTTAGGACCCTAAAGTTGCTGAGTAATTTCCTGTGGATTGGCTGCTGTTGCTGCTCTACTGGAAGCCCTGCGAATATATTATCCAGGAAGTATTAGCCTAGATCATGGGAGTTTGCTAGAAGATAACAGTAATGAAATGTAGTGAAATATGTATTGTTTATCGATTGACAGAAAGCTTTTAACTCGCTGTAAATGAACTGATGACACTGAACTAAATGAAAGACAATTCCCAGGCTATTCGAGAGGTCTGATCTCTCCACTTGATGCTTCACAATGTCTTTTTGTCCGCTTTGCCTGTTATTTCCCCACTTCGATTTATAGGCAATTCCTTACTATAGCTTGCGACACTTTTGACCCTCTAACAAACTAAATGAACCTTCTGGAATATAGATGACCTGGTTGCAGCTATGGGATTGGGGGTCTATCAAGCATCTTTAACTGCTGCGGCCACAATGGTAAAGCATTTTTTGGCGGTCTAACATAGATTATGCATCGGAATTCGAAGAATCTGTTTTTGTAGTTTTTATCGTCTGTCTCCTCAATCCCTCCTGTTATATCCAACTGCAAACTACAATGTCATTAGTTCCATATGGGTCTATCCACGATAATAAGTCAAAATTACCACTCAAAGTTGGGGCAGCACAAGGAAACTAAATACATGGTGTTATTGAATAATTTAAAAGAATGAATGGTATTGAAAAACGGGTCTTTTCTTAATCAACTAGATGTTTCACTAAATGTATATTTTGCCTGAACTTACAGTGAGAACTTTCAAAATCCGGGAATATAATCCCACATCGGTAAAATACCTAAACAATGACCAATATATAAAGGATTGGGACACTTCTCTTAATAAGGTTGACCTTATTAAGATGGACCCCAAGTCTTAACATGGTATCAGAGCCCATTAAGCTCCAACGAGCGATTCGATCCGATTAAGTCTCTAAAATGAGCACACGAATTTCAAGATTGGTCTGCTCAAACGAGCCACCATCTTGCGGGAGCATGTAAGTGGAGTGATGAAAGATCTGAGACGGCGCTAGAAATAAAACATTTGCAAAACGTCCTAAAATTAGTTTATGAGTATTATGAACTTCATAATCTTGATGCAAAGATTTTCATTTGTTTGTTATGAAGATCAATCACCCATTCCCGCTTTTCTTCATGCACATACCATCCTCCACATTCAAATACATCATACACGAGCAATCTTCACGAAGCATGAGAAATAAAGCATACCTTCAAAGGTTGTGCAAGTTCATTCTTTTTTATCTGTTACAAACTGAGTAACAGGCTTCGACACAGTACCACGAATTTCATTCTCATCTAAACTACAAATAGCTTGGATTGGGAAGATGCGATGACACCAACTGCATCACATAATAGTGCCAAGTTAAGATATGAATTAGAGAGGCAGATATAGTACAATTTCAAGGCAGACTCTTATATTCATTATAGACAAATCAGATCTTGATATTACAAGATATACAAATCATGTAAATAAACAAAAGCAATGTGAATGTATTCGTGGCCGGTCTCAAGGGATTTAAGTTGGAAAAACAAGAAATGCATAGTACAACCAATGTACTATAAACCACTGGTATAAAAATCAGACCGGACCGGCCGGTTCAACCTGTAAAATCAGGAAAACGGCCTCAAATCTGGTCTGGTCATATAATAGTAACAGTAATAAAACAGGCTTGTTTAACCGTGAATCGAAAAACCGGTCATGGTTACACCGGTTGTTAAAGTTAATCTTTTACAAAATTTTCAACTGTTTTGATGGGCTCTTACAATGCTATAGCAAGCCCAATTTAGATTTTTTACAAGTGCTGTCCTTTTAAAGACACTCCTCCATCCAATATGATGTTCAACATCTGATGTGGGATACAAGATGTGCCCAATTGCCAAACAAGCAATTGGAATTATTTGCACAAAGTTTAAATGCCCCCCAGCAAAAATATTAGGCAAAAACAATTTTGATTTGAATTTTGAACAAAGCCAATTATTTGGTCATACTGATTGTTAGTTTTTGAGGTTTTAAAATTAAATATAGGATAACAAACATATATTTATATCTCCTTTGAACTAGCAATACTAAAATTAAAAAGGTTATATTTAGTACTTTGTATGTGTATTTATTTATTTAACTGTGGTATCCGATTTGACCCCGGTTAAACCTTTTGAACCTTGACCCTTAATCTTTTGCAGGTTGACCGGTCCAGTTTTCAAAACATTGCTATAAACAGTCGTTAAAACCATTAACTTCAAGTTCAAGCCAGTAACTAAGTCTTTAACAACCATGACCAACAAAAGTAAATGAAGCCAGTAAGACACAAGGCACAAATAATAAAAAAGTCCTTGATGCATTAAAGTGCAGAGTGCCAAGGAAAATGCATGACCCATAACACAGCACGAGTTCTTTTTTCACTTTGTTCACATAAGTACGTGCTCCATCAGGATAATTAGTTCCCAACAGAGTAACCAAAATTATTTTATCTGGATTGAATGTCACTCTTTTTGTTTCTCGTCATCACAAATCAATCAATATATCCACCCCAAAAGTAGCTCTTCATTTACTATCTTTCATATTACAATAAAGAGATCATTACATCAGCACTATCAGAACTTTCAGACCATAACACAATGATATTTATTTTCCATTGCCCATCTCTTGAAACCCATTGATGCAGTTCGTATAAGACATGAAAGGAAAAGAAAACATTAATAATAATGATAACGCCCACTTCGATAATCTAGAACTTTGGTCCTTTTACATCTGTTTCGCGCGGGTTAGTCGCTAACAATTAAAAGGGATCAGACGATTGTGTAAGGGACAAATCTTTTGAGACAAAGTCCCAAAAAGGGGTGTTCTTTTATTGGCGATGACCTTACAATTGGAAATCAAAAACAAAATGCCTCCAAGGAGCGCAAGCACACGAGTTACTGAAAAAAGTGTTTAAGTCTAAAACTAAGGAAATTAAAATTACATGTTCTCTGTTCGAAAGTTTTTGATTCTGTCTTTTGCTCTATGTCTTTTCTCCTTTTTATACTCCATGGATGATCTTTTTTGTGATCAACCGCCTAAAAACTGCTTGATCGTTCTGCAACTGCCCACTTTCCTCATAATGACCAGCTTGTCATGAAAACTGCCTTTTTTAACTGCTGCCACTACTCTTCGTCGTTCAACCGTTTTCGATTGAATTCCTTGAATCGTGGAACGTGATAGGGCTGCTTTAATAACTACTTTGATAATTGCACTTCTTGATAACCACAACGCTTTATGTTTGTTAAGACTTTGGGCGACTTGAAGGTTTGGACGAGAGTAGAGTAACAGTTCTGGGCGACTGCATGACACTTCATTCGCTCAGATTTTGGGCGATTTGCAAACTTGGGCGATGGCGTTACCGCGTTCTTGGGCCTCCCTATTTGGACCTTCATCTTGAATTGTTTGATTGGACTTCGTTCTTTGGGCTATCTGATTTGGGGATCCTCCAATTGAGCTTCATTCCTTGGGCCGTTCGATTGGGCTAAATTTTTATGTGTCAACAATTACCCCCCAATATGGCAGAATTAATAATAATTATTAAATTTTGCCATATTTACTTTGTATTTCCAGCAACATCCGAGATTTCCAAGAATTTCAATCATTGTTTTCTTCCATAACTTAAAAAGGTGCGTCGTTTTGCAAACCCTTATAACCCCCAAACACGCCATTTCACTGCACCATTAAATCACGCCTCAAATTTTTCGCGTCTCTCCCACGATTTACTGTTCATCTTTTGCTTCCCTGCTACGTAACTCTGAAAAATTTCGTTCCATCTCAAATGGCTACTTCACAATCTCAAGCTGGCGACTCCTTTAGTTTTGATGACTTTCAGAAACTTCTGAGTCGTCCATACATAACTCCGAGTTTTCTCGCGCCCGTCGATGTCGAACGCAATGAGTTCTACTTAGGTCCCTTCTTCAACAATGCAGAGGCAGTTGAACAGGCGACGGTGGGTCAGCTGTTTCCTTGTACTCAAGGCCCTCCATTCCTAAACTCTCTGCCGCTGGGGCCACTTCGCGAAAGAGGTATTCGCACTTGGCCTAAATCTGATGTAGCTTTCCGTAGGTGGCATGCTTGTCTTGTGGGTCATGGTCCTACTAAGGCACTTTTTGATAATGCTAGGATTTCTGATTTGTTAGAAATCTCTATTCGCCCCCTACTTTTCATTCAGCACTTTTTTCGATTGCTTTGATTTTTTGGTCTTTTGAGTATAATACCTTTATTTTCGCTCTT